GGTTCGCAGCATATGACTAAATTTCTGTTCAAATAGAACTTGCGATTTATTGGCAATAATAAGTGTATTTTTTTCACATGAATGCTCCAATGGAACACGTCTCGCTTGAAAATCAACATATAAAGCAAAAACAAAATAAGTAAATAAGTAAATTCAAATATTTTAAGAGTAATATTTTTAATAAAATTTTTGAAAATGACTGACAGGTTAATAATTGTGAAGAAATTAATTATTTATTAAGGAATTTTTAATTTCTGTGAATATATATATATATATACATACCTATATATATTTATATAAAAAACTATTTTATAAAATTTAATACCAATTTTAATTTTTTTTACTTGTCATATGTTTACTGGTTTAGGCACTAATGTCAAGTTACCTGTTCTATTAGATCACTCATGTCAAAAAAATACACCTAATCCCATATACAAGGTGAGATGAAAAAACTGCAACCAACTTCAGACTGCTGTCATTTCTAAACCGCTCGTCCCACAGCTGTCAGATTTATTCTAGTGACAGCTCATTATATTGTTTACAAGCGCACAAAAGCATTTTGGTGGGAATTTTTCAAAAAAAAAGTTATTTGTGATGGAATTCAAGCGTGATAGTGTGATTGCTTTGCATTTGGCTGGAAAACCACAAGTGGCTATCGTTAGAGCCCTCCAGCATTTAGAAGTGAATAAATGTTTTGTGTCTCGTACCATCGCTCGTTACCATGATACTGGTAGCGTAGCCCGACGTCAAGGAAGTGGACGAAAAAAAACAGCAACATCGGCAGAAATGGTTCGAAAAGTGAAAAAGCGAATTGAACGAAATCCGCGTCGCAGTGGACGAAAAATGGCTCGTGAGCTGAACATATCGCAATATGCCATTCGGCAAATATTGAAAAATGAGCTTGGACTAAAGCCATTCAAGTTCCAAAAAGTGCAAGATCTTACTGATGCGCAAAAAAAAGTTAGACTCGAAAAAGCTAAAGAGTTGTTTCGCTTGGCCGAAAGTGGTGAACTGCCGAATTTGGTTTTCTCCGATGAGAAACCATTCGTTATCCAGCAGTTTGTAAACAAACAAAATGATCGTGTTTACTTGCCAGAGAGGTCAGCTGAAAATTTGCAACTTCGGTTGGCCATCACAACTCAAAAGCCGGCCATGGTGATGGTGTGGGCCGCCATAACAGCCGATGGTCGCTCGCCGCTCGTATTCATCGACCGTGGTGTCAAATTAAATGCGCAAATCTATCGCGAAAATATTTTGGAGGGAGTTCTGAAGCCCTGGGCACGCAAACATTTCGGCCGCAGACCTTGGACATTCCAACAGGACTCAGCACCATCGCACTCAGCACGCGCCATCCAAGAATGGTTAAGAAATGAGGTTCCTCGCTTCATTTCCACCGCACAATGGCCACCAAAATCTCCGGATGCCAATCCGTTGGACTATTGTGCCTGGGGTATTTTGGAAAGCAAGGTTGGAACTAAAAAATACCAAAGTGTCGATCATCTCAAGCAAGCGCTTCGCCGAGAATGGGACAAAATACCGCAGAGCCACTTTCGGGCAGCGTGTGATGGTTTCATTGGCCGTTTGAAGGCCATAGTTCGTGCCAAAGGTGGGCAATTCGAACAAATCTAAACCGATTCTCAAATTTGATGTTATTTCCGACATTTTTTGCTTTCATTCAATAAAATTTAAAAAAAATGAAAAAATTATGGCGTTTTACTTTGTTGCAGATTTTTCATCTCACCTTGTATATCCACTCCACTTTTAGTTGTCGTCTTTAGGATTGCTCTTCTTTGGTACTAATAGTAAGGGTGAGTTATATGGACTATGTGAATTTTCTATAATGGCAGTTCTTTCACTTGCCTATCTATTTCATTCTGCGGAAGTCTGTAGTCTTTAATGTACACTGGACTTCTATCTGTAGGTTGTAATTTTTGTTTATAAAAATTATTTACAGATAGCTTTTCATTCTCCAAATGAAAAATGCCCTGAAACTGTTTAATTATCCGATGCAATTCGGTTTTGTCTTTTGGGTCTATTGACGAAGTATTAATATTTTTTAATATTTCTTTGTATCGGTTTTGTTTAGTGAAAGTTTGTGTATATTGTACAATATTGTAATTAAATAGTGGTTTTTTTTCACATTGTATATTTATGAAATCGACGTCGTAGTCATTTGTATTTAGTACTTTTATATGAGCTATCCCCTTTGCTGGTATTATAGTATTCGCTATGAATACTCCAGTGGTTATTTCTCTATTTCATACGACACTATCGAAAGTTCTTTTTTTTTATATTAAGTGGTATCACCTGTTCTGCTCTTGCTAATATTGTGATTTGTTTATTTTGTGGTAGTTTAGTATACAAATGGAATTCATAATTTGTTGTTCCGAAGAACAAGTGGACTGTAAAAGTCTCATAATTAATTACGGCTGATAATTTTCTACGACGATTTCAACGACGTTTTCTACGACAGTCAACGGGTTGGTTCGATACTTTTTGTACTCTTAAAACTCTGTTTGTATTCCCGCGCGTCTGTTCAACTCTTAATGACAAATTAATAACTTCTAAAAGCGTTTTAGGTTGTGCATCTAATACCACATTTTGAATGTCTTTTCTTAAACCGTCTGTGTAAACTGTCAAACCGTTCTTGTTGTTTAGTTTATGTACTAACGATTTTTCAGATTGTGTAGGCTCTGGACCCAGTTCTTTAATTTGTAAGGCTGACAATTCGTATACTAAGTTGGTTTTCGGTCTTTATAGCTTGTTATCGAACTGTTCTTTTGAGTGACGGAATTGAGTGAGGTCTGTACTTGTGCAACAATTTTTTTTTTTTAATTTTTAAAAATTTAATAATTAATTTATAATTCAACTATGCAGATGTAATAATGGCTCTACTTATCCTTCTATTTACATAGGATTTGTAATAAATATTTACTTTATATAATATGAATATTCCTAAAGCTATTACACCGATTATAAGAAGGGATGTTTCGTTTACCCCAAGTGCCGTTGTGTTATTATTGATAACTTGCTGTTTTGAACTGCTGGAACCCATTATCTTTAAGCTTCTTTAATTGATCCAGGTATTGGTGTTGTGCTTCCTGATTCCTGCTTATGTATATTAGACGGTTTAGCTCTTTAATCTTCGCTTTGAACTCTTTTTTACTCTTCCGCTCTTTGTCACTTTTTTGACTTAAGGCTTTGGAGGTGGTGTCTTCTTGTTACGTTTTCTATATTTCTCTATGGACAGTAGTTTTGGCCCAATTGTTTTTATGAATGGGACATATCTTGGGGCGTTATTGTCGGTACTTTTAGGTTTATATTCTTCTACTTCAGATCGCTCAGGTTGACTGTCTTTTTGAAAACTTGTGGACATACGATGAAAATCGTTCATTATTTTTTTTCCTAGGGTGATTATCTGAATGTGCTTCTATAACGCATATATATATTATCCTTGAAATTTTAAATGACTTGAATCAAAAATTTTAATGACCGACAAAGAATACATTAGCCTTCTAAAGCATATTTAATAATTCTAATTTTCGTTCGTATTAAAATTTGAGGTAATCATAACATCAAAGGTTCTCAGGATTTTTATTGGATCGCCATGTAAAGTAGTTTTTAGGATAAGGTAGTATATGTATTTCCCCAGCGCAGCGAAGCGCCTTTATTGTTCGCAACGAGGCGAATATAATTTTGTTGCAACTATGCAACTTCAGTAATATAATTAATGAGACTCAAGGGTTAGGTTGAATCTGAATTTGTTTATTAAAATTTTACAGTATTTATACTTATTCTAATCTAAACACTAACTTACCTGAATATTATGTTCTCCTAATATTTTTCATATTAAAATGCTAATTATGCATTTTATTTTATTTAAAAAATGAAATTATATTATTATATAATAATTCGGGTTAAATCAAATTCCAATGCAAGTTAAAGTATTTTACGAATTTCATTTGCGCAACACATAAGAATCAAATTAATTTTCTTTTGAACTTCTTCTCATGCCAAGTGTGTGACCATCGCAAAATGCAGGTCTCTGCTCTTGGCATGTGCCGGTACCATATAACATATCATTATATTACAATCATCAAATAATTATTTTGTTTGTTGATAATATAATAAATATGCAGATATACTACAGTACATTCACACTGTTTCATTTACGCACTTGCTCATTTATGTTAATGAGTGAGCGTTCATATTATAATGAGCTCATTTGTGCAGCTGATAAAACTTTTATAAACTTCGCTTAATAATATATCACAAAAAAAAATTAACTGTATGATTGATATCATTTATATATATCTTATATACCAATAACATATAATTATTAATAAAAGTTTTATTTTTTAGAAATCAATTGATTTTATTTAATACTTACTTACTCAATGCCTTTGTTTCCAGCTCAACTATTTTTTGTTTACATATTACATATAAAACATATAACACATATTTCAAATTTTGGTCTTTTCTCTTGTGGGTAATTTATTTTTAAAGGTTGCATTCAATATTTTTCGCCTTGAATAAGCTGATTTAATAATAATCTTTCTCATAAGTGGCTATAATGAGCAAACCCGTTTGAAAGAGAGACAGTGTAAATGTTCTATCAGTCGTGTTTCGGTTAATCTGTAACAGTAATTTTTTGGCATTTATTACGCATTCGTTTTTTAATCAATAGTGTAGCTTGAAAGATCTCTAATTCAGTTTTGAGACTTAAGTTACGACTTTAAAAGCGGTACTAAGATAATATTTTACAATCATAAATAAAATTTTAAGACTGACTGACAATGTGAAAAACTTGCCACAAAGAAATACGTCCGAATTATTTAAAGTTTTGACTAGAAAATGACCTTTATAATTAAAATGATAATGTAATATGTATGGGTTTTATTAACTGCAGTTTTATGACGCTGGCCATTCTAAATTCATTTAGCAATTTATGTATGAAGTTTGAATGAAATTTTTGTAATCGATTACTCATAAGTAATATTTATACTTGGCAATGCTCCTTAACTGTCAATGATGCTAAAAAATTGTCCTCGTTTGCGGCTTTAAATATATATTCGGTGTGCGTTTGCTCCCGTCGAACTGAAATAAAGAAGAAACAAGAAAAAGAGTGACGAACATTTTACTATAAAAAATTGAAAGTAATTTGCAGGATGTCGGAGTTACAATCATCTCTACTTTTAAAAAAGCAATTAGCAGGTAATTTATCGTCTATGAGTAGTACGCCAAATAGCAGACGTACCTTATTAAAATGTGCAATTTAATTACTATTAAATTTGGTTTTTGTTATTAAATGTAATTTGCAAATTGTTCAAAATTTTTTTTTTTGCTTTTAAATATATGAATATAAATATATTTCTATGTATACTATAAATTAGTTCATAAATGGGCAAATAAATATATATTGTTTGATTATGTGTGTTAATATATACGTTTTATACAATATGAAATCCAAATTTATTATGTACATATATATGAAATCTCCATTTGTGTATATCAATAATATATTATCGGAATATATATATTTGCTGTAAATATTAGGGCTGTATTTTGCATATGTGTAAAATTATAAATTTCGATAAAAGAAAAGTGCTCCTTAAACTTATAATAAATCTGCACATCTTAAGTCACAAAAGCCTGGAAAGATTCTGTGTTGTATAATATTCTTAAATCAGTTTATCGTTCGCATGTTTTAATGTAAGATAAAATACGGTGTTCTATTTACATTTATAGTAGATTTCAATAGGTTGTTTTAAATATTACAAAAATCAAATAAAATACATTCGCTGATTTAATAAGACACATTATCGTTCAAATATTTATTATATTAAAAAATTAGATTTTGTAATTTTCGCTGGTACTTCATTTTTATAATATTTTAGAATAAAAAAATAAAAAGTTCCTATATATGTTATTTCAATGCAATACATAGTGAAAGAACTGAACAAAGTAACATTTGGCTTCTATCAGAACAAAGACGAGTATGAGATAAAACTAAAAGACAAGATTTGCCGTTTGGATTATGAACAACAAACCTAATATGAGATTAGCAATATAAAAAATGAATTAAATTGTGAATAAGAAGTGTTATATACTGAAATTTTAGTAAATATGTTTAATTATGATTGTTTATCAAAATTAGTAATTGCTTATGTAAACATATGTCGTACGTGATTATATGCAACAATTTCTCTTTTTAAGATTTACTTACCAATTAATTATGTATAGGATATAGTTAATTATATATGAAATCACAATTTTTTTATATTCAATTTTTAATGAAGTATAAAGTGATATTTTATCACAGTTTACTCATATAAATCAATTAATATTATTTTTATAGACTAGAAGTTAGATTTTTGAAGAGTTAAAGCCTATGTTATGTAGAGTCTTATGGGCATATCAAAATTTGCTCATTTGGGCTATGACGAATATGCATGTTATGCAGAATGTCACATCATTTTATGAATTTAGTATTTTTACTATTACTTTTGTACTCTTTGGTTATGCCTAAATTATATATACATACATACAACACGACTTCGACTGAGTGACGAGACACAGACAGCCTCGGCTCTCATGACTGAATTTAAATCGACATTTGTTTTTTTCTCTCACTCTGTTTTTTAATTTGCATTGAAAGCAACAATTTTGATTTTGACGTGCCTGTGACACTCTGCATAATATAGGTCTAAACTTCAAAAATGCGAAACCATTTAATATTGTCTATCGTATGTGAAGCCCGGTGCAGACTTGCAGTTTTGACTGTCAATCAAGACAGAAAATGCTATGACTGTGACCAAAATTGCACCTTTCAATGACACCTAACCACTATGCTAGCATGCTTACCAATTTTGGTGAGCACAACAATCAGCTTCTCGCCAACATGTTGGGAATGATAGTTTGTCACTAAAAATTTGAATTCTGTCAGTCAAGAGCATATTTTTGCTTGTTTACTATTGTAGTAACAGTGTGCGCAAACACACTTACTAATTAAAAATTTTGCTTGACTAACAAATCTTAACTGTGAGCATGTTCGAGTTCAGTCGCTAGAATAAATTTGAGCGCAATTTGAATGACATTTAAAAATGATAGACTGCACCGCGCTTAAAACTAGTTAAAATTAGAGAAAACTATTTTTATTATCTTTGTGTATTTCCTGCTCTTTGTTAATGGAGTATAGCAAATTTGTTTTTCAATCATTTTGGAATACTAGCAAAAATAGATATTAGCGAATTTTTAAGGTTCCTAAAATGCATTAACTACATCTAATCGATTAGATTTGAACAATAATAGATGCGGTTTAGTAGATAATATGATACGATAACAAAAATTGTAATTATGGATTAAGTCGACATTTTAACCATTTATAGCCAAGATAAATTATTGTGCAAATATGCTTATTTATAAAGTATATGGAATTGAAAGAGTAGTTATTTTTAAAGAGTTTTAATGTTTTTATGTTATTGGTACAACTTGTGTTTCAGAACTTTTAAGCAAGCATAAATTCTATAGTTTTCGAATCAGTGTTACAACGTGTCATATAGCTATAGATTTTTCTAAATAAAATAAAATTATATGTTCGAAAAATATTTGTTATTTGCATATTATTAACTAAATACTTCTTTTGGTAAATATTTTTTTTGTGTGCATTATTACATTTTTTGAAATAAGTTGTAATTTAACGTCAAATTTTCTAGACGAAAGTGACTATTATTTTTAATAGCAAACTTGTTATATTTCCTAAAGAGGTTTTTTGAACTATAGTGAAATACAACAACAAAAATTTTTATTTTTTATATTATTTTAATTAATTGAATTTTTGGCTGACCATACAGCTGTTTCGAGTATTGCCAAATACCCATCATCAGTGGTCTTGGAAATGTTTAATACAATAATTTCAAAGGCTTCAAACATCATTTTTATAATTTTTAATGAGGTTAATACGCTAAAGATAAACTTTTGTTTTAATGATAATTTTCCGGTACGTGTAAATCTTTTGTTGGAGCGTTCTTTGGATGAAAGCAAGTTTTAGTTTCTGGGTGTCGAAACTGGAAAATACACTCACTGAGAAAGTAGTTTACAATAATTATTGAAATTTCTAAATCTCTTCTTCATTTCTATCCCATTAAGTTGAGATACAAGTTATGAAAAAAAAATATTATTTAAAAAAATAATTCTAAATAATAAATGATCTCAAAATCAACTTATGCAAAAAGTTATAAACATGTATAAAGTATAAATAATTTAAATAATACTTTAATTTAATAAAGTATAAATAATTTAATAAACTTTCTAAAAGTATAAAATTCCTTCTATTACTTTAATACTTCTAATATTTAGTTTATGTCCGCTCGACACAATACTTATTTGCGCGCGAACCGCTTTAAAAATCATGTTACACAAAAAGTTTTCTGGGCTTAAAAACGGCGGCTCTGCGATATTTCTGAAAGTACAAATAAATCATAATTTTAAAAATAAATAAAATTCAGTAAAATTGCCTCTAAGTACAACTAGTTTTGAAATCAATTGCAAATCATACCAAATCTTCGTTTCTTCTGTGTATTGCCTATCTATTCTCTGTGCATATATATTATATAGCGATTTACCATCCAATTTTTTTTTCATGTTTATTTTAAAGATTTTTAAAACAATAAAAAATATATTAATAATTTTTGTTATACTTATAATATATATTTTTTTTTGTAGAACTAAACAAAAATCCAGTTGAAGGCTTTTCGGCTGGTCTTATTGATGAAAATGATATATTTCGTTGGGAAGTGCTTATAATCGGACCACCTGATACATTATAGTAAGTTTAAATTTATATTGAACAAATGAAACAATATTTTAATAGATTAAAGAAGAATTTTACAATAAATAAAGAATTGCTAAAACATTTTTGTGCATAATAAAAATATATAACACTTAAGCTGCGATTACATTGCATAGGAATTTTGTTTTGCATGAGCATTTATTTTTTTTTTGTACAAACGCATCTATCGGTTACATTGCTTCCGAATAGATAGTTTTGGTTTGTTTTGAAAGCAGCATGGACACTGCTGACAATGTACATATATTTAACAGAATATTTAATATTAAATTTTGTGGCGAACTAGAACAAGGTAAAGAATATTTTTTGAATACACCAAAATAAAAGTTTTATATAAAGTTTAAAATATAATTTTTATAAAGATGACATTTTATATGTAATAAATTTAATATAAAAAAAATTACCACAAGCTAAACTCAAGAAATAAATAAAAATTTAACTCTATATAGTTCTAAATGTTAATAACTAATGAAATTAACAAGTCACAATCTTAGAAAATCTAACAGTATAACAAGTTTTCAAATTAATTTCCATTTATTAAATTAAAATTACATCAAAATAATAAACAGGTCTAATTTGACATTTTTACCTACGATTTCGCATGAACAAATGAATTTGAAACAAATTATTTTGTTTAATCAAATGGTAGCACGAGAGAGAAAATACATCGCGTGAATAATTCTCAGCAACTTTAACTACTGCCATATTATGTTGAGGCTACTTAAGTCAGTGCACCAGAGCACTTTTACTCTCTATTAACTGCGAGGTTTTTTCAAAACCCCTCTTTGCGCCTTGACTGGATTATTGTTTATCACTTCATTAGACTAAGCAATAATTGACCTCAGATCTGCATATCTCCCCGAGGAGTCTGTAACCATTTTGAGATTTGATAACGCGGTGTTAGTAAGTCTGTCGTAAATAATTTCGTACGGTCACACAAGACAAAATTCGCAAGCAATGTAACTCGGTTTTCGGTTCTTTGAAAAATGATAAATATATGTCTGTATTCATATTTTCAATTCTTCTTCGATTAGTAAATGTTTAAATCGATGAGTTTGAGTTTTTTTATTCGCAGTAGAAATTCATTGTGAACTGGCTTAGCTGTTGTAATTTCTTAAGAAAAACTTGTACAAAAGTAGTTGGTGCCCTTCATATTTTTGCGAAATTATACATATAATAATTTAATTTAGATATCATTTAGTTTACAAATAATTAAATTAAGAACTTATTTTTCAAGAATTTTAATGGTTTTTTTCTCTTGTGTAGTGTGTCTCCGATATTCGGAGACTCTATAGCCGTATAGAGTAATATATATTAAATGAAAGCCTAAACTAATACGAACACTTTTAAGTACATTATGGAAACGTGACTTAAACATTTTATGTGATAAAGTTGAATATGTGTAGCTGAAAAACTTTTCTTTTGCGTTTTTTTTTTAACTTTTTGGAGTTGAAAATATCCATAAATATAATGAAAATTTTTTTTTTATTCAATGATGGTTTCAATATGAACATTTTAAAACATAAAAAATGGATGAAAATTTCGAAAGTTATACTGAATTTTCACATTTTCTCAAAAATAAATGTTTTTTTCAAAACAACAAAACTTTCAAATAAATTTCTTTTGAAACGAATTTATTTTGAATTTAAACTTAAATGTATGAATCAAAATTATTATTGTATTAACAAAAATTTTGAATATTACGTATTTAAGTATTGTATATTACAAAACATTGAAACAATAGGGGTATTCAGGCAACTGATTAGTTGCTTAGTTGATTCAAAAACTTCATATAAAAAAAATTTAGCATTTTGATGTTAATCAGTTGCTTGAACGACCCAAAATGCGTAATCTGATTAGTTTGTTGTGTGTAAATGCCTTGGCAGCACTCGCATCAACAGCAAAAGTGAAACATATTTGTGTTTGCAAAATTGTTTACACATAATTCAAACATCTGAGAGAGACAGCTAACAAATTTCTATACTAAAGTTCATTTTAAGTACTGGTACTGGCAGCACTATTAATCAAATTTGTACTAATCTGAGAATCACCGAAATAGTTGATTCTCTGTTTAGTTTCATTTTTGTGTGCAAATTTTTGTTGTAATCAACTACTAAGCAACTAATCAGTTGCCTGAATACCCCTAATATCTAATTTTAGGTAGTTTTATATTTAATTTTTTTATTCTGATATATTTGTGTTTCCGTCGTAATCTTTATAACAATAAGCATTTGGTTTCCGTACAATTGACTAACAATAATCACATCGCATACAAACATTCTAATATAAAGAATATTGTTTTCTACATTGACGAAATATCCTGGTTAAGCATTCAATAACCCAGACGAGTAAATTTGGGCGCATTAATAAAATTGTGCAGAGTGAAAAATTTATAACTATTGTAAGTAAGAGCAGAGCAGCTTTTTAATTTAATATAGTATTGTCTTTAATTCAATCAATTCACATATAATTTATGTTTTAATAAAACCTTTAATAATACTAAGTTTGCTAAAATGTTTTTTATCAAATAATTGATAACATAGTGTCAGTAATTCATAATGTGCTTATGACAAATCAAAGTTTCTCATTGAATAATTTATTTATATTTGAGATATTAAAAATTTTCATGGTTCAGGTACAGAACTTTCAAATCAAGCGTTGCATCTTTGCTTTCGCTATTGTGTTATTGCCTACTTGCTAGCAGTGATGAAGAAAACTTACTATTTCGCTGAACATCGCAAGTATGAAATTAATTACATAGAAAATTATTGTAGCTCATTATACGCAAAGTATACCCTTCTTGATATAAATAGTGTGACGAAAACAGACATGTACCCTCTAAAAATTATATGTATACAAAAATGCATTCAATGTGATGTACAATATTAGGAAATTGATCATTATTAACTTTGAACCATGGAATTGTGGTTACCACACAAAGTCAACGTACAATTAATGAGCGATTGATTATCTAATTATATTCGTACAAGAAGCAGCTGGGAGACCAGTTTAACCCTTCAATCTTACATTATAAAAGAAATAAATTATAACAAGTATATCACCGAAAATTGAAGGATAAATGTCAAGCTAGAAAATTTGGCATTGAATCAGATTTTCTAAAGGTAACCAAAGAATTAAAAATGCTTCTTTGACTGCATATAGAATAAATGCATACAGCTTAAAGCCATCACACATACTCAACAAAAAAGTTAGTAGCACAACTCCACTTAAAAAACCTGACAGTACTTGGGATAAAAATCCTATTGAAAAACCCAATATTTCTGCAGACCTTACTGGCATAATAACAAAAAATTTTAAAAACTCAAAAGCGATAACATTTATTACTCACCACCTTTTTGATTCAAAGGAAATCAAAATATATAATACTAAAACCAAAAGAACCAGGTGAAGATGTTAACACATGTCCACAAATTAATTTTCTCTCCATTTTCTGAAAGACATTTGATTATATTATTTCTACTATTTCTTATTTCGATAATTGAGATGAGTCAAATAATTTCAAATCATCTGTTTGGGTTGAGATGACATCATTCTACGATTGAGCAGATTTACAGAATTTTTGAAAAAATACAAACTGCATTCGACCGAAAAGAATACTGCCCGGCAGCATTTTTTAAATATTTCTAGGTTTGATCGGTTATGATTTGGTGTCATAACTTTCTGTCCTAAAACCATACTAACCTAAAATCATATTTCTAATAATGACGATATTGTATAAAAAATGAAAATGAGATTTCCTCATTATATTCAATCGTGTATAAAGTTTCAGAAGGTAGTGTGTGTCTAATCCCCTATCTACTTTTTACCGGATGACACTGCAATTTTCAAAACTGCAGATGACCTTTTAGAAACTTCTACAAGTCCTCATTGACAACATCGTTATTTGCTTAAAACATTGGCATATCAAGGTAAATGAAACTAAATATATTACATCAGTTTTATTTTAAGAAGAGACACTTGTTCACAAGTCAAATAAAACAATGTAGCAATACCGCAATCAGATGCTACAAAATAATTAGACAAACATAAATATTGAAATTTTCAAAATTCTCTTACTCTTTCTTTTCAGCTAAAAATGCATACATTTTAACTTCTGCCCAAAAAGTATTCGGATTTTGTTTTTTGTTAACTACTCCTTAAGTAATAGACCTTTTTCAAAAATTTTTTTTTGTTATGTTCGCACACCCTTTCTTGACATATGGTACAAATTTGAACGCCATCTGTCAATTAGTTTGTTACAGCAACTGTTAATGTGAGACTACCTCAAGTGCATTTAGCGATTTTTACTATGGAAAATTCTTGTTGTACGCGATTTTTTGACCAATCACGGCACCACTCTCATCGCTCAGGCGCCATATTCGGCAGATCTGGCGCCGTGAGACTTTTTCCTGTTCCCGAAACTCAAATTTCCCCTTCGTGGTAAGCATTTTGAGTCGATTGAATCGGTAAAAAAAGAATTCGCCGAAGGAACTAAAAGCCATACCTGCACGGGCCTACGAAAAGTGTATGGAAGATTGGGTTAAGCGTTGGCATATGTGTATTGCTTCAGAAGGAGCATATTTTGAAGGAGATAAAATAATTTGGAATAGAATTTAAATTTGTGTGTTTTACAAAATCCGGGGCTTTTTTGAGCTGGAGGTAAATCAAATTCACAAGCAAAAGCAAAAATAAAGAACAAACACAAAATGTTCCTCTTGATCAATCTAATGTTTTTGGAGACAAATTTTTTAAAGCTCAGTCCTCTTGTATTTAGTGTTCTTGGTTTTACACACAAAGAAATATATAAAAAGCTATTGCGAATAAACCCAAAATAATGAAATTTCGCCAATATTGGGAAAATGGCACACAAAATTTTTGACCGTAAACTAGTAGAATTAAAACTTTACTATTTAAATATTATCAAAAATTATTAAATGATAATTTAGTTACACTAATGTTTATTGCAGTTGATCGACTGCAGTAAGGTATTAAAATTTTTTTATTCCATTTTGTAATTTATCACCAAATGCAAATACTCCAGAAATATAAGCTTATTAGTGTCCGATTAATAAGTTAACGGGCCATCATTAACATTATCGTAGCATATTATAGGGTTGTACTGATTCTGAGAAACGTGAGAAGCAGAATTACATATAACATAGCTTTATCTTTTATTTTTATTTTTACGTGTAAATTACTTTAAATGAATTTTAAGCACAGAGCGTTAGCGATATAGAAATAATTTTCAAACACTTAGTTATTACAATTAAGACAAAAATATAAAGAATATTCCTTATATCAGATGGGACTAGAAAATTTCGTCTTGATATTATCTCCTAGCCAAATTACAGTCACAGAGGCTATATTCCATCTTTTCAAATATACCCATCCTCAGATAGGAATATAAGCCATGGTGAACCATTAAATAACCTCAAAAACCTCAGCTCTGTTATGTTAAGAGACTTCTTATTGTAGTTGTGAAGATGAAGCAACTCTTTAGACTTGTGGTTAGCCGAAATGACGTACCAACAGCGATTTCCTTCGGTTGCACACTCAGTAACTAAAATTATGAATCCTTTTTTTTTTTGCTTTTTAGACGTATTTTTCTTTTGTGAAATATATATAATCATATATATCTAATCATTATATATAATCATTATAATTTGTTATTTCGTATAATACATATTTTTTAGGTTTTTTTAATGAATTAATATATATGCATATACTTATTAACATTTTTTTTCTTACAGTGAAGGTGGGTTTTTTAAGGCACAACTTTATTTCCCCAAAGAATATCCACTTCGACCTCCCAAGATGAAGTTTGTAACAGAAATTTGGCATCCAAACATTGAAAAAAACGGTGATGTGTGTATTTCAATATTGCATGAACCAGGTGATGATAAATGGGGTTATGAGAAGGCGTCTGAACGCTGGCTTCCAGTTCACACAGTTGAAACAATTTTGATATCTGTAATATCTATGTTAGCGGATCCAAATGATGAATCCCCAGCAAATGTAGATGCTGCTAAAGAGTGGAGAGAGTCATATCCAGAATTTAAGAAAAAAGTTGCTCGATGCGTTAGAAAAAGTCAAGAAGAATGCTCGTAGAATATTTAATAAATAATTTCTTTGTATTAAATAAATAATACGTAACAATTTCAATTCCTTTATCTTTGTGGAACTTATTTTTTTATTAACTATTTCAAAGTGTAACGCAATTGAACTTAAATTAATATTTATTGTTTATATAAAAAAGTATGTGTTCGAATTGCAGGTCAAACATTGTGTTGATACAAATTTAATTTAAACTATGTAAGTTATTAAAATGATCAAAGACAGAATTTAAAGTTCAGAAGAGAATAGAAACCTAATGATGTTCCATTCGATTTAGTTAATTCTGTAAAAATTTGATTTACAAAAGTGAAAGGATTTTCTAAGATAAATTTGTATTAACTAAAATCATAAATATACAGATAATAACAAAATAATGTATTTTAATGCTATTGATATATTTTGATTATGTATTTATTTATTATTGTATGTGGAATGAATAACAATATATATTAGTTTTTTGTAATTTCATATGTGTTGCCAGAGTGTCCATGCATACATAGCGAGAGTTATTGCATCCAATCAAAATGATATATTAGTTTTGCATTGAACTTGGAATACATTCGTTGTTATTCTGCATCGAAGTTGTGGGAAAAATCTAAAGAAATTTCGAAAAGGATATATGTTGAATATGTGGAATTGTAAATGGATGTGTATTTCATCTGTGAAGCCGAGTAAATCTACAAAAAGGGCTCAATCATATCACATGTTAATCGCCTCCAATTTCAAAACAATTCTTGATTACAAATCTCTTTCTTGATATCATGATTACACCGACTGCTACCATATCAGAGATAACATATGTGAAGTTGATTCCGTACCCAGGCATTTTCCACCCTTTATATCGAAGCAGTATCTTATTCGAGATCATAATAAATTTCCCAATAGGTCTGCATCTGATGCCTCTGGGGATGTAAGAAGTCACTCGTGTGCACCATAAACTCTCTTTGTATAAATAAGCTCAGGATATAGCCAAATGCTAAACGCTTAAATAAATTTATATCAAATGTGTACTCCAAATACAGTTTTAGTTCACAGGAAATGACACAAATTAGCTTGTGATTCTGTCCCGTTAGGTTGGCAAAATACCTTCATCTTATTTTCTCTTCTTTATTCCTACGTTGTACCGTATCAGTTCCACCATCTCACCATTGTGCAGTGTCTATCCAACTTTTTCAGGTTGGCTTTTGGCTACAACAACAACAAAAGAAGGTGAGTCATATGAGTCACTACTTTTGTTATCCACAGTATTTAATGTTGTTTAGTCTTTGATCGTACATCGTATATTGTTTCATCGATTTTGCCTTCAATTAACGTCGTTATGGAGAAAGTTAATATCAAAGCTACTAATTGAAATTAGACCAAAAATCAACTTGAAAATTGGGGGGTTTTGAGCTCGAGTACAAAGGATGTTGAACAATCTGGCATTACAATTCTATACTTGACGTAATGATAGATCTGCTACAATATTATAGGCAGAAATTTTTTTACTATAAGATATGTCATTCCATATTAATCAGTCGGTGAATTTAGTGACCCCATAAATTCAATTACAATAACATGTTCTGAGGTGAAGTACCATATTATAACCGATCATTTAATATTACATTTAGTTAAGTAATGACCAAAAGGTCATTATTATTTCAGGAATAAGACTAAACAGGCCAAGACCCAAGTAGAAGAGATTAAGTAAGTAGATCATTTATACAAAAATTAAAAATTCTTATATTGTATGAATATGACCTCAATTTTTCCGATGGCGAAACCAATGGTCAGGTCAGTTAATACTATTTGTTACATAAAAGAAAAACTTAGCAATTATTACATTTTACAAAATAAAAAATTTAAATGCAAAGTGCTATAAAACTTTTAGTGTAATGCTTATTTGTATATATTTTTATACAACACCGTTATAGAAAATTGTGTTATCGAAAGTTAGGACGTGACAAATTTATTAATAATGTAAAAGTAATACATATTTTTAAAGCATTGAATTTTAAACATACATTGAAGTACATTATCGTCAGTATCAAATCAGACACATATTAAACCCCAATTGGAATATGTACCACGTACGGTAATTTTAATCAAAAACAATTAAAATATAACAAAAATAATACTTGTTTTATATATATTTGGTATATTATATTATGTTTACGAATTTTAAAATTGATATGAATATTTACATAAACACCTGTAAATTCATCAGCAATAGATATTTCTATTGGGCATTTGTAAAAAAACTTATTTCAACAGACACAATTTCAAGTAGTTTACCAACGCATATAAAATTAACCGAAGCTCAAAGCTTTTATATAGAAGTCAGATTAAAAAACAATTTCTGTGTCAGTTAAACTTCTGAATTAAGTAAAACATTTTGTGAAGAAAAATGTTTAAAATAAAATATTTTTTTCTAATGTGCGCGTTACCACTAAGTATAATATACGGCGGTCATGCGGCTTTTGCACAGGATATCAGTGCTGACGATTTTAAAAGTTTTCACACATTAGCCGCAGGTTTGAAGAACTTTTTGTTTAAATATATCACGAAGTTGAAATGATCTTTTTAAATTATGTGATCACTTAATAAATAATGAAATCAAATGAAATAATCATATGATTCTTTAAATAAGTACAACTAATTCTTAAGATTTAAATAATTGAATCTATAAAATGTATTCCTTATTTATGTGTTTAAACTTTTGTCGGGCTTTAGGTCGTGTTTTTAAATTTATATTTTTATATAATAACTTATATTATATAAAAAACAAACTTACGAAAACTCTTGAGGTCGACAATAACACAAATATTCCTTATCTATATTAAAATAAAACACCATTTGTGTTATTGACAATAATTATATTTTAATTTATAAATATTAATTTAAATATTTATATGTAATTAGATTATTAAATGTTATAAATAATCGTTATTTTGAACATTGTTGTGATTGTGTTTCTTTTCTAATTAATTTTTTATTTGAGTGTTAAACTCAACGGTTGTGTGTTGTATGTAAGTTATAATAAATAATTTAGATTATTCAAATAATTTTTCAAATATTTTAACTTATTAACGTTAATTTTTTCTTGCCGAGAGAGACTCGTCCGATTCGACGCGACGGATTCGAATAGCAAAGAAAAGACAAGGACAAAAATTTATTTAATTTATTGAAATTTGACTAACCATACAACGCTGTTTCGAGCATTGCCAAGTACTTATCATCAGTGGTCTTAGGAAATATTTCAATGTCTTTTAAATTAGTTTATTGCCCACATATAATTTGTTTGGACTACAAACGTAATGGTTTTTTATAAACATTCAGTTCAAATATTATTTCTTCACCAAAAAAATTTCATACCTTCGATCCTTAAATAACATATTATTTTTAAAAGTGTCAACAATTCTTTAAAAGTCCTGCCCTTTTTAGGATATACGAAAAGTTATGAATAAGCTAAATTTATTAATGCCTTTCTAATTGTGTCAATACACAAAATGATTGTTACTTGGCAATATAAAATAACCGAACTTGCGGTTTCATTTGAATTTGAGATCACTGGATTTATTTAATAAATTTGAAAAAGCTTTGTAATAAATTTTGTCTATAAGTTTAGCTTCATTACCGTCCTTTATTAATTTGTGTATCTAAATATTTTATTGATATACTGTTATAGTGTCTAAATATTTTATTGATATACTGTTATAATAATTAAAGAAAATAGCCACTAATTGTTTATGCAGCCATAAAAGTAACTATTCCTGTAGTGACTCTTTTACTGTTATAACTGCAGTGATTCATAAGTGGTATAGTGGTATACATATTATTGTAGATGCAAATAAGCTAGGAGTTCCAAATTTTACATATATTATTGATAATACAATCGTTATCTTTTTAAGTGTCCTGACGATAATTATAGGAAAAATATATTAAAATTGGTTTGTCATTATTCTTCAAACACACTGAGTTGCATATAAATTTACTGGTTTGGTAATTTTGGTATTTAATTATCTGAAACTATGACCCATCCAACACGATGTTTTATAATAGTGATATAGTGGGTGGATGCAGTTTCATATCTTTTTATATTGAATAAAATAGAGGTTATTTTTATTGATTATCGGAATATCTTCCTTTGCTCTAGTTTTTTGGTTATAATGATTCCAAAGTATTGATTGAATATTTAATATTGATTATATATTTAATAGCGCATTAGGAATTGTCATATAGGTTTTCAATTAAATTTAACATCTTACTAGCATGTTTTTTGTAAATAGTATATCCCATATTAAAGTATAATTTAAGTTGTTGTTGTTTTAAAACTAATGTGTGTCGTATACATTGTGCAACGAGACTAATTTCGTTGTTCGAATATGTATTATGATGATGATGCAACAATTTCCGGCTTGATTGCTTTTTTGGTAAACCGTTTTTTATTATCCAGGCACATAGTCAAAATAAATTTTATTAATTTTATTTTTATTTATTGTCTATTTAATCAGTCACTTTTTAATTGCTAATTTGTCTCACTTATCCATGTTCTCATGTTAGGGTTCTTTTTTTCTAAAATTATTACGAATACATTATTATTACAGTTTTATTATTTCATTAGGATCTTAGTTATGACACTGAATATATAGCCTTTTGCACCTGGCACAAAGTTTGTTTATAAATTTTTAAAAATCAACGTTTTAAGTTTATTAAAGTAAGATAAATTTTAAAACTAACGCTATTTCCTTCATATATTCTATTCTCTTCTTTAGTTGACTTTTCTTTTCTTTTCTCCATGAACTTATTATATGACATGGTATCGTGATATTTGTTAATAGTTCAATCTTAGTAGAAAAACATACAAGGAACACTAACATAATTTATTTCTTCACATTAAAAGTGATACTATGTAAACGAGTGAAGTGAAAGTCTTAACTTCGTAATTAATATGATTTAAAATAAAGAGGTAAATCCATAAGCGGTTTTTGCGATTTCTGTTATGAACTGACATCTTATGGTTGACATTATGAGTATATAGTCTATTCTTATTTTTGTTGTAATATTCGGTTGTGTATGAGCATAAAAGTATAAACTTAATATAATAGTTTATCATATAAATACTTACTTGCTTACCTATTTGGTCATAATAACCTGTTACCGAGTTTCGGCCTAACGCAGCATGTCTTCAAAGGAGCCTCTGCTGCGTATGTGCCTCCTCTAGTCTCGTACATCAAGCGCAATTAATGCTCCCTCAACTTGATCATTCCACCGGAAATAATGTCTATCTCTACGCCTTCTTCCGCCTATTACTTCTTCAAACACTCATGACATGACCAACCCAGCGAATATTCAAATATGTATATTATGTTTTTGATTAATTTTGCATAGTTTAAAAAAAGTTAATGCATCAAAAATACAATTCCACCCATGATACGATGGGCTTTACTTATTAACAATAGATCTTTATCCATTTGCTCCATTGCCTTTATCTGAATTTAACTATCAAATTCTTACATTATGTCAAATTTAATATTTAACATATAGTGTAATCACAATATTATTAAATTTCATTTTTACTCCACAAATTATATCGTATATCAAAACAAATGTCTTTCAAAAGTTATGGCAGGTTCAATGTTTATCTTAATGTGTATTGTTTCTGTAAAACACAACATTTTTGAATAAGAGATAAGTAACAATTGAAGGTAGAAAAAGTTGTCAAACACTATCAGATGGATTTTTATTAAGAGTAAATTTCACATTTTGTTAACTTTTCTTGTAAAATTTAGCTGAACGGCGAAGTAAAAATTATCGGTTTCTGATATTACGTACGTAATAAAGTTTGTCTACATAAAAATACATAAATCTAAACAATTAACAATACAAAACATTCATTAACATACTGCAGCTATCTTAAATCATTATATAAAAAAACAATTCATTTACTTAATGTTTTACAAACAACATCGAAATTTTCATGACGTGTTACTATTTGAGGAACGAGGCTTTTAATTTGTCGTGACTTATCTACTTAACTTTCATTTGAAATCAGAAAGGCATGTTACTATCAAACCTTACTAATATACCATTTTAAATCATTGTTTTGAAATCATTAAACATAATTTTTTTCTCTGCAAGTGAAATTTTATAATGCTACTACTACAACCTCTAAGAATATTTTAAGACGTAAGAAAACATTCAGTGATTATAACATGTTATGTAGATTATGTTATGTTTTATGTAAATTATTTCTACGCTTACACTAAGAAAAAAATTTAACTTCAAAAATAACTAAGAACACCTTTTTACGTTTATTTTTTCAGGAAGAAGTGATGAAGGTTATTCGTATAATCCACCTCCGAATAATAATTATTTACCATCACAAACTCCAGGTTATTCATATGGTCCACCAAATAATATTCCATATGGTCCACCACCACCACCACCACCTTTCCCTTATCAAACTCATTATTCTAAAGGCCATCTTATTTTTGATAAAATATCAACTAAACTAAATCTTTTAACAATTGGAAAAATCATATTAAAATTATTGATATTTAAAAAGATTGTTAAATTTATTGCTGTTATATGTCTGCTCTTAATTTTACCGAAATTAAAAGGTATTTTTCACGATGAATCAACAATTGATGAAGGTTCAATGGAGAGTAGAGGAATTAAAACTAACAAAGGTAAGTTAGAAAATTATACGATTTATCAATGTATATTAGACAATTATTATTAAAAACGACAAGATCAACTACAAAAATATATTATTTTTAATTTAGCTTAAATAAATCGTTTGTTGCAATAAATACAACATTTTATAATTATATAAACGCAGTCAAATACATTTTAGACACCATTCAAATAAATCGAATCAATTTAACTATACCGGTCTGTTTTGTCTGTTTATTGGTAAAGTAGTTGGTTAGTTTTTATGTTGATGAAATAATACTTTGCATTGGAAAACCGTGTGAACAAAATCACTTTAAGAGTTTTCTTCCAAAACAGTAGATTCTATGCCAAAAAATTAAATGGAAAATATAGCAAAAAAAGGAACTTAGGTTATAAACGATACCAAGAGCAAATTAGATATGATAACAACGCAAGGTATGTACTATATATCTATATACTATATAGACCGACTGAAAAGTCCTGAAACTATGTTATAAAAATGTGTTTTGATAAAATGCGATCTTATTAATTAATATAATTTCCTTAAAGAGCATACAACCATTCCACAATTTATCTAACATTTCGATATCTTTTTCGCAGAAAGATTTATCTTTGATCTCAAAATATGTGTTTGTTTCGGCGATAACTTCTTCATTTAAAAAATATGTTTACCCCTTTAGCATTGTCTTGATGGAACAGTTTTTTTCTTCATTTCGTGTTGTATTTTCGTGATCCCGTTATTTAAATATACTATTAATAATTTATGCCATGCGTATCCAAAAATATGTATGCCTTACCTTACCAGCTAATGCCTTTGATTGTTTTAGAAAACTTTCACCGGTGGCTGTCAATATTGTGGACTACCGTTTTATTTTCTGAGTGAAGTGGGATCCATGTTTCATCAATTGTCACATAACAGCGCAAAAAATTAGTTTTATTTAAGAATTGAAGGTGGATTGGGATGAGTGGGGATTAAATTGAAATCTAGCTAGATCAAGGCAGAGAAACCTGGACACTTCAATAGGGTAGGTCCTAAGGCTGATCGGACGGAGGTTTGTGTGTAGTTGAGTATGAGAATATTGACGGCGTCATGGGGGTAGAACTGCAGTTTGAGCACACATTGGGAATATGCGTATTTATGCGTAATAAGTGTTTAGCACATGGCTATATTCTGATTTTTATTGAGCTAAGATAGTTGTTGCTGGACAGAAGAATAGTCATTCTTGAGAAATGTTAAGCGGGGACATGTCCACGTTTATATTCGACTTCATTAATGGTAACTCCATTGCGAAAGGTATTGATATATCTATTGTAAGAAGAAAGAGATTGGCGGATGCATCTTGCAGGAAGGGCTCTACTGAACATGGCGCCATTTGGATATCCATCTGTGTGCTGTACCGTAGATAGATTAGTCAAATGCTGCTTAGTTTAGAGCAATCACGGAGAGACCTTTTAACATACATTTAACAACACAAAAGTAAAAATTAAGTTAAGAGCATTAAGGTGTTAAATCTTATAAAACACGAACATACTAGAACCAGCCTAAATGTATAGAATTGTCAAATTTTGTATAATTGATCTATTTATTATAATAAAATAAAAACTTTTAAATTCTTTTTCTTTTAGATCTTGATGACCTCTTTGAATATATTATTCAAGCAATATCATCATATGATGAACGTGCCGCTTAGTTTAGGAAAATTGAACCTATGAATTTTTTATTTTAAATATTGTAAATATATGAATTTCTACTTTTTAAGTTATTTATTATTATTTATTGTATTAACATCGTAAAAAATACGAACATATTATTATTCTATTTAGTTATATATCATACTATATTTAATAAAATAAAAATTGGACTAATGAAGAATTTTTATTGTGTGATATAATTTTTTTCCAAATTACTATCATTCATAATAATTTTTTTTATAATCATTGCCAACATATTATGTTGTATCACAAATAAACATTTAGCGGTGTTTAAGAAAATGGTTATAAACGATATATATATTCGTTAATAGAATGACGGGTTTACGTATTTAAAATCGTTATTTTAAACAAAGTGGATCACATTCTAGCGATCGGGAATGTTGCATAAATTGGTAGATATTCTATCTTTGTTTTAGAAGAGCAGAAGTAGTTCTACATCCAGTTTAGTTACTTTGGTTTAACCGTTCTAATTGATAATAAAACCATCACGTATTTATGTCGGTTTCTTATGCCTAATTCATTATGCAAAATTTTTCAAATACATTAAAGTGAAACTTCCAGTTTCAGCAATTGATCTGATGTTTATTTAACAATCATCTATACCATACATTCAATGCAAATATATTGTTCGTTATAGTGCATTACTTGTTTTATTCTATTTCCACAAACACGTTGCTTAATGAACACTATTGCTAAAAATAATTTTAATAGTAAAAATAGGTATAAAATCAAAAGAAAAGAGTTTGTCGGGTATCGTCTTATTCGAGAAGTTTTTGCATACTCACATAACTTGTTTATGTTTCATATAGAAACATGTATATACTACAGTAATCAAAATTAAACATCAATTGGGCATCTGTGTCCAATTTCATGTCAATATCTGCATTTGTCTTATAATTACGCATGTGTTTTGTGAACTACAAAGTTACATTAGCAGATATTGCTGACGTAATTTAAAGATTCTTACAGTAGGCTTTAGGTGATCAAACTATGCGACAAAAAAATAATTAAAAGTGGTATAAACAATTTAAAGACAAGAAAAACATTGATGACATGAATCACACTTGACCACCGAAATGATCGACAAAAACCTGAGTATAAATAAATCCATTATATGACGTGGCCATATACTCCAGATAACGATAACCTTACGAGGCTTACTGTAATAAGCCTTGAAATACTTGTCCGAAAACATATTAGTCAGAATTAAATGAAATGACATGTGACTTAAAAATTTTAGTGAATAAACTAGTACTCAACCACAAAAAATCTTGGGAGAAAAGGTAATATTGACCAGGCATGGATTTAGAATTTAAAAAATTAACTTTTTTGTAACAAATTTAAATAGAAAAATCAGAAACCGTCTGAATATTCAGTACATCCAATAATATGAAATAGTACTGCTTTTTCACATGCATAATTACGGCCGAGAAATTTGTTCACTAGATAAAAACATTAAACTATCATTTAAGCAAAAACATTACAATTTATTAATAAATAACAATCACGCATGGCCCTGCTAATAATAAATTAATATTTAGACATATGCTGCTAAATAGACAAAAAACGATTTTAGTAATGATAAAGAGATATATTTGATAACAATTATAAGGAAAGTAACTTTTAATAAACATAGTCTGATAAATATAATATAATATAAAAAAGTAGTTATATATAATAAAGTTTTATAATTCTATAGCCCGAATATATTCAGCATATTACACCTTGTAATTGAAGTTCATATGAAACAAATACTGAATATTTACCTGAGCAATATCGTATACGATATACTCGTTGTACAACAATGATGACATTAGTTTGTTATTAGTTGTAGGTTTTCCAAACGGTATTTCGACACCATCTTCTCGGAAATATGATTCCTTCGGATTAGGCATTGTACGGCCACGACCAAAGCAACTATGCTTATTATTAGGTAAAGTTTTTATGAAATTTGCTGAAGTACATTCCAGCATATCTCCTAAAGCAACTTCTGACAGAATCATGAGACCAGTATTATTTTGCGTGCTGGTAAAGCAATAATTAGCTGATTTTGAAACCATGTCCGCAAAATAAATTCCTTTACCGAACATGTAACCGGTAGCAGGCGCTTCCGGCGGTGCTATTTTCAATCCATGAGACAATATACCAGCAAAATTGGTAAGACGTGAACCGTGCCATAACAATTTTCGATTGTGGAGTTTTTTAAATGGTTTGTATCGACGAGATTCTCCCTGTCTAGCGACTTTAAATATATCAATTATTTCAAGTTCATACATCTTATGCGTATCGGCATGAGTATTTTTGACATAATTTTCTAACATTTCATATTCCTTACTAGTTTTATCTAAAGGTTCTAGTTTTGTTTTTAACTGTTCATAATGTTTATCTATTGGATTCATATCTTCCTTTATGTTCTCTTCGGATTTAATTAAATTATAAGCACATTCAATTTCCATTAATGAATCAAGCATTTGAAGCAACGTGGTGATTTCTTCATTTGTATTTAGTAGCGGTGGTTTCTGAACTCCAAAATTGTGTGGAATTAATGTATAAAAGCGATTAGTAGCATCTATAAAGGCTGTTTGAATAGCATCTTTTTTAATAAGATCTGAAATTTCAGATAAAACAGCATAAGCAGATTGTATTTGTTTTTGACTAAGTTTGCCTAGTGGCATTTTTTCCATGTCTAAATTAAATTCCATCATTGTTCGTTTCATCGTATTTATATCAAACATAAGTTTTATAATATTCTGAATAGATGGATCAAGTTTCGACTTTATATCATGTTCAGCAGATAAGTCAACTCCACTCTTATCATCGTAGTCTATGTCGAGAGGATAGTAACGTCCAGCCATCTTAAATAAAATATAACACATTACATAAAATATAACTTATAATACATAAGAATAAGAAATGTATGCAACACAGGGCAAGGTAAATCAATATTAAATTGTTCTAAATTTAAAATACAAAGTAAGGAAATATATATTCAAAAATATTTATGCTTACCTTAACAAAATTGTCTCTATCCTTAAATTCATTTCCGGTTCGTTCAAGATAAATTTGTTCAAACGCATTAATTGCTTCAAATACGGTTCCATAGTTTTCCAACTTATGATTACCTATTGTTGTTCCAATACGACCCCAAGATCGAAATACCCAGAATCTGAGCAGAAGTAATATTGTTATTCGAAAACAATTTAAAAAAAACAGTTTAAAAAAAAGTATTACTTATTTTTATAATCACTCTCCAGTAGTTGCAACTTATAAAACGAATTTTTATTTTTTTGTATATCTGTCATGCATAACACTACGTTGTATTTATCTTTTCCTTTTATATATACATGTGCAATATCTTGCAGGCTACTGTCTGGATCAACCGCCATGCCGTCTTTTAACTTTAATGTAATAGATTTAGGCACAGATTTAGTATATATACTTTTTCCGCTCTTATACTCTTCTTGTGAAACTCTTGTTGAGGGATCTGTACCCCAATCACAAAGGCTCATACTTGTTATGTTACTGATAGCATTACTTCCTTCTACTGAATCCAGATATTTCAAAGGTATAATATGAATTCCAAGCTCTTTTGCCTTTAACATACGGCTAGACAGCTTCTCCACTTCTTTTTCAGTTGAAAAAATGGCTATGACTTTTTCATTAATTTTAGTGTCACAAGATCCACCAAGTTTAGATATACGCTGTTTTAAATTTTCAAATTGTTCTGACAAGCCAATATGAGCAAAACGCAAATTGTATAGCGGAGGCTTTTCGCGTTTAACTTTAGGTCTAAAATTATAATAAAGCAACTATATCAAAGTAATATAAATACTTTTTGTATTTACCCTTACCCATTTGATTCATCATCTTTTTTAGCAGGAACATTTTTAGCAATAGTAGACGAACTTGGTGGTACATATCGGATTGCACGAATTTGTGGTTCTTTTTTTACCTTACTAAGAAAAGGATAAGTTTTTTTGAATTCTCTGGGAATTTTGCAAGCCGTACGTTTAGGCTCCTTAATAAAATGTGCGCATTTTGTCCATTCAGTTAATTGACCATTACAAAAATAACCAGATTTCTGAAATAACAATTGGGAACCTTTACATTCCGGACATGACGATATAACGCCAAATGTTAACATATCTGCCAACTGATCTAATAACTTTTCAGAATCGCCTTGAACTGGATCTTGTTTGTTACGTTGTAATAGTTCAATTTTATCATTTTTGCTCATTAAGTCTTTAATGTTATCACGGAATTCAAACAGAGTTTTTGTTTGATTCTTTATTGATTTAATTAAATTTTGCTCAATTATTTCATCCTCAGCATCTTGTGGTTCCACTTTGGCTTTTTTTGGTACTGAAGCATTTTCGGATTTAATAGTACTGAAAGTATTTTTAAATAAACTTGGTTTATAGTACATAAATATTTTAAATACAAAGTATAATTATCACAAAGTAATAGTAATAGAAAATATTTGTTACAAAAAACAATAAATCAGTTTTAACTTTCTACTGCGTTAATATGTGGAATATACTATAAGACTTGTACTAATCACTCATAAAATACTTCAGAGTTTGTAAGAAATTAAATTTAAAGCGTTAGATCGCAGTTTTTCACTGGCTATCAAAATAACGGGTAACGTATTTATTAAAAATAATAAATTCATTTACTCTTAGTTCAGTTAAGTTTTTAGTAAAATTTATCCTTAGTTGATTTATGTTGAGAATAAATTTTTTAATTTACTACTCGCCTTTCTACACTTATTGTTCGCTTTTGGACAATATAATATTTTATAATACTTACAATAAATAAACAAGTACTTGTCGCCTTATAAAAGGCTTTTTAGTGCTTACAATTTAATGTGTAGTGTGTAAAATATCAACGAAATGTCTACCGTTACTCTGGCATTCCATACAAATCTCCGAAGCCTATAAAGAATGGTAGGAACGAATATGATATGATTTTTTTTCGTATAGAATTTAAAATAACGTTATATCTTAGTTAATTCCAGTTCGGCATGAATTCCTAATATTAATAATAATAAAACATTTTTAGCGTTACGGTTATTTCAGCATTAAATAAATATACAACGCTTAGCATACGACTATATTAGTCATCGCTGTAAGTTCTTAGCTTATAAATATGAATGAGTATAAATAAAATAGGACAAAGATGTAATTTTAATTAAGATTTGATTAATAAAGTTTTAGAAACCTGGGATTGCAATAAGGAATAATAAAGTAGTGTTCCTTCACAGTTTTACATATTGCATTTAAAATAAAGAAAATACCAAAGTGAAAAATTTTGTGACTCTGTTGCTATTACTTCTTTTAAATAAAACGTCAAATATTTTTAAACATTCATTACACTTACGGTAATATTTTCTTAACTTCATCTTTTGCATCAGCTTCTAATGCTTTAAAACCAGGAAGTTGCTCACCACTAGCAAACCAACCTAAGTCCGCACGTAACGAAGCAAAACATTCTAAATGATGCCACAGTGCTTGACCACCATATTTCATTCCAACTTCCGTATCATAAACAGTTTTTTTAACCCTTATCTGGCCTTTCGTTATTTTTTGCTCACAACCACGACACATAGCTCTGCCAGACTTAGCGTGTTCTACACCAAAATCTTTCAAAACTTCTACTTCTCCATTTGAACGTTTTTTACCACCTTTTTTTGTAGAACCTTTTGCTTCGACGACGGACACTGACTCCTCTATAAAATATGTTTTTTAGAAATTATTTGCATTTACTTTTTGTAGTTCATACCAATTCGTTTACGTATAAGCTCTTGATCTTCAAATCGTAGATTTTCAAAATTTTCTATATCACCCACTGATTGCGGCCTTTGTTTTTTAAAAAAACAGCTCGCGTGAAACCAGTTTGGAGATTTCCCATCATGGAAAGCCGACTGTTAAATAACTGTTAGGATACAATTTATACCAATGAATAAATTTCTTACCTGGATCATTGCAGCAATCCTAAGTGATCCTTGACTTATATTACCTTTACATCCTTTGCAACTTGCTCTACCAGATTTGGCGTACTCTGTTTTAAAAGGAAGCTCCACCTCCATTGCTAATAAAAATTAAGAACAATTTGATAAGCTTGTGAAATAACTGCGCACACTATGACGCCTGTTATGGTAAGATAAAAAAACCGGCAATATTTAAAATATAATTAAACACCTACTACACTTTCAAACATTTTGATGAATCTACACCTCGTTTATGTAAATATTCATGCGAGAATGTTCGCACTGAATTTTTGTCACTTTTTTCGAATTTGGTGTTTATAAAACATCAAAAAAATCTATCTTACGTATTTACCACACGATAATGTTCATATATTAAAATTAGTGTGACAATAAATATATAAGTTAATGAACATTTATTTTAATTATTCTTGTATATTCTTGGTTGTATAACACCGTGCAAATATAATAATTTTCTTGTTTTCTTCGATAAAGAATTTAAAATTTTTTATATAAATCAAACATAAATAAAGAATACTTACTTAGTTGGCCATTACAGACGTGAGTCATTCTTGGTCACGTCGAATAGCCTTAACCAGCCAGCACGATTGCTGTCGCCAGCACGATTGCTGTGGTACATAAATAAAGAAAGGATAACTGAAATCAGAAGTGTGTGAATTATTATTGATATACTATATATATATATATATATATATATATATATATTATTGATAAATATATATACATATATAGTATATATATATATATATATATATATCAGAGGCGAGGCGTCGAATGGTTCAGAGTGTTCACTGAACACCTTAACAAAGCTTCCTTATTAGATCTTTTTTTTTATTAGGTAAATAATCTCACTATTTTGCTATTTAACATTTTTTATAATAGCTTTTCCAAACATATTAACATAAACGCAAAATGTACAATACAAACAAAATCACATATACATATGTTAGTTACATCCAACATTACTTATAATTAATAAAACAGAAAACAAATTCCTCTTAAAATATACTAAGGTTCAGAATGAAAACTGCACCGCGCTCCTTACAAAGCATGCAAATGAAATAACATTCACATTAGGATTATGTTCAATATTAAATAAATACAAAACATACAAACAAATATAAAAATAAAAGAGAAAACAAGCCCCGCAAAATAAGTACGTAAAATAATCATAACTCTTAAATTAATGCGTGCAAGCGGTTCAATAAAAAAAGTGAACTTCCAATGTTATGCAAAGTAAATACAAAAGCGAAAAGAAATGACTGAGCTAAATCGCTTTACACTTGACGAGAGGTTCACTCGACCAATTTGAACCCCAAGTTCATACAAAGCGTGCAAATACAATCAAAGTCACGGTTGCCGTTTTATATGGGCAAATGGTTCAATAAAAAAATTGAACCGCCCATAGTAAATACAAAGTAAAAGAGTAAATGAATGCATGAGAGTTTCTTACTCTTATGTAGAGGTGGAAAATAAACCAAAAACAAAGTCATTCTTGGAATTTTATACTAGCAAATGATAAAAGAAAAGAAAAAAATTAAAGAAATTTAAAGTGAAAAATAATATTTAGAAATGGATAAATCTGTGATTAAAGATTTGATTCAAATATCTTTTTTTAAACGATCTTCTGGAAGAAAGATTTTAATTCATAAAATGAATAGACCAACTCCAGATATGAAGAATTTGGTACCTGATGTAAAAATGTCGAAATCTGTGGTGTCTTCCTACAGCTATTTACCATAAAAACCAGTGGATCACAGGCTGCGAATATTTTTTTTTTTTTTTTTTTGAAATCCATTTATTTATTACAATCTGTCAGGAATGAATGACAATAAGTAATATATATAAATTTAAATCGTAATAATGGTTATTACGATATAAAAAGAAAGGCACGTATGGACTATGCCCAGTGACATATCCATATATACATATTTAAAATAAAAGTGTATTGTCTACATATACATATTTAAAATGTCTCGCGATGTTTTTCTTCTCAGCCTTGTAAAGGTATTGGAAGGGGACATCAGTTGAGTAACCAGAGGGTTAGGGTGCATATATAAGCGTTGAGCGTAATTCTTTAAAATACTTGCTATTTCTTCCTTGATTGTTCGAACATGTAATTGTTTATGTAGCTGTTCATTCGTTATATACCAAGGTGCGTTTGTGATCATTCGTAGTGTTTTAGATTGGAAGCGCTGTATAATTGCCAGGTTTGAGTCTGCTGCAGTACCCCATAATTGGGCCCCATAACTCCATATAGGTTTAAGTACAGATTTGTATATAAGCAGCTTATTGTCGAGTGACAGTTTGGAATTTCGGCTGAGGAACCAAAATAAGTTTCGTAATTTAAGACCCAAGGCTTTACGCTTTTTGAATATGTGCGATTTCCAGGTTAGCTTACTATCCAGATGTATGCCCAAGTATTTTGTTTCTACAGCTTGTGGTAATTGAGTATTGTTAATTAAGACCGGCGGGCACGTAGAACGTTTTGTAGTGAATGTTACCTGGACAGATTTTGATTCATTCGGTTTAATACGCCAGTTTATCATCCAGAGAGCAACATTATCAAGGCAGGTTTGAAGTTTGGTGGAAGCACGGATTGGGTCACTGTCAACTGATAAAATAGCTGTGTCGTCTGCAAATGTACCTATAACACTCTCATCGGTAAAAGGAAGATCCGCAGTAAATAAAAGATAAAGCATTGGTCCCATTATGCTACCTTGAGGTACTCCTGCTTCTATATCATGAAGTACTGTAGTTTCGTTTCCATGCTTAATGAAAAAGTGCCTAGCCGAGAGGTATGATTTTATAAATATGAAAAAATTTAGAGGTAGATACAGTTTTAGTTTGAACAGGAGGCCCTCATGCCATACTCGATCAAAAGCTTGTGAAATATCTATAAATGCCGCAGTGCAATATTTTTTACCATCTATCGCACTATGGATATGTCTGACAAGTCTATGAATTTGTTCTATTGTGCTATGTTTTTGGCGAAAGCCGAATTGATGGTCAGGTATGAGTCTGTTTTGTATCCTGTTTCTAAAGCGCCGGAGTAAGGCGCTTTAGAAACAGGATTTCCATAACTTTTGACAGGATCGGAAGTAGACTTATTGGCCGATATGATTTGACGTCTTCTGGGCTTTTCCCTGGTTTCGGTATCATAGAGATTTGTGCTATCTTCCACTGTGGCGGAATAAACCCCCTTATTATCACAGCGTTAAATAGATGAGTGAGAAATACAAATCCTTTTGGTGGGAGCTGCTGCAAGGCCATGCCTGTGATTAAATCGTATCCTGGAGCTTTTTTTACTTTTAACTTTGTTATTACATCTCTAACTTCATTAATAGTATATCTTTTAATTGGAAGTTCCAATTGATAAGGCTCTTGTAGAAAATTAATCCTTTGATTCATGACATCAGGCATATTTTGGTTATCATTTGATTTAAAGACCTGTCCAAATGTAACGCAAATGTTTCTGCTTTTTCAATATCGCTTTTTGCCCATGAGTTGTCGATTTTGCGTATAGGTGGTTGATAGACAATCGGTCTGTTGTTCTTTTTTATGGCTTTCCAAAGGGAATATTTTGTATCACATGAAGCACTTAGGTTTTGAAGGTATAGCGACGTGCGATTATTGTTATACTTTAAAAGAAGGGCTTTAACGAGTTTACACAGTTTGTTTAAGCGAGTTTTATCCGCAGGGAATCTCGACTGTTGCCAATGTTTTCTCATCCTACGCTTTTCTTTAATCAGGTATCTAATGTTAAATGGATAATCTTGCTTAACACTTTTAGAAATTGATGGAGTTGATTCCCATGCAGACATTTGGACACAAGAGTTGAAATGCTCTACTGCTTCAGTTACGTCAGATTCAGTTTTTAACCTGACTTCGGTATTTAGACCAATTGAAATTAGTTGACGGTAACTATTCCAGTCAGTGTTTTTGTTATGAAGAATACATTTTTCCATAATTTCACAGCAGTCATTGAGAGTGATTATTATTGGCGAGTGGTCAGATGACAAGTCGAAATTGGACTTACAAGTAGTTGTTTCGATACGTACCCCCTTTGATACCGCAAAATCAATTAAGTCAGGTATTTTTCTTCTATCCGTTGGCCAATATGTGGGTTCACCTGTTGAGATTGTGTGGAGGTTGAGTACATTTATTGCTTCGAAGAGTTGACGTCCTTTTGGAGATATTAGGCGGGAACCCCATTTTAAGTGTTTAGCATTAAAATCTCCGCCTACTAGGAACCTAGATCCAAGCAGCTGAAAAAAATGATATGTACATATCTTTCGTGATACTGTGGCGCGGTGGGCTGTAGAGTGATGAGAAAGTCATGTCGCCTTCTTTAGTTTGTACTACAATGTTTGTTGCCTGGATTTCATTCTTGCAATATGGTTTTGCTTCATAATGTTTTATCGAGTTCCTTATGAGGACCGCAGAGCCACCATTTCCTTTACCACTGGGATGCATTGTGTGATAAAGTTCGTAGTTCGGAATTTTAAAGAAACTACGCGTCGTGAAATGGGTTTCTGATACTAGCATTATGTCGACCTGGTTTAATTTTAAAAATGCTTTTATTTCGATAGCATGTTTTGATAGACCATTAGCGTTCCATATGACTACTACTAAATCAAGAATTTTGTTTAGTCGTCAAGTTGATCAGTAAATTTGTCATTAGTACGATTTGTTGCATCATTTGCTTCAACAGTGATGTCATCTCACGGAATTCTTCCACAAAATTATTTGGAATTGGTGAAAGCTTCTCCTCTGTTTCGCTACTGGTGTCTGACTTCACTATTTGTGCGAATGTTTCAGGTGAATGAGAAGTCGTGATGTGTTTTTTGTTTAGCGAAGGAAAAGGATTTTCTTGAATTTGTACTTCCGGCGCCCTAGGTCTTAGTTGGGGATACATTTTTTTTGCAGGTTTTTGTATATTTGACATCCTTTGTAGTTGGCCGGATGATTTCCTTCACATAGAACACATTTGACATCATTGGATCTGCTTTTCCTTTCGCAATTTACAGAAGCATGATTTCCAGCGCACTTGACGCATTTAGGTTTGCGGTGACAGTATCCTTTTGTGTGCCCATACTGTTGGCAGTTTGCACATTGAGGGATTTCCCGTTTCGGGTGAGGTGGTTCAAATGTAACTGTAGTATACAAGAGTTTCTTAACCAAATAAATATCCTTATTATTTAGGTTTGGTGCAAGTTCAATAATAAACATGGGGAGAGGTTCACCTGACCCTCTACGTTTAATGTT